AAAAGAAAAGCTAGCTAGGTAACATAAAATGTGTAAATTCGCATTTGAAACGAATTTTAACTACATAATGTTTTTTTCGAACCTTTAATGTTGCTGCAAGAATAAAGTATAATGTGTAGATTTAAATTTAATAGAAGGTTACATCCAAAATAAATTCACAATTAATCTGAGAAGTAAATGGTCCATAAGCCAAAGTTTCTGAATAGTTGGGCAACAAAGTTAATGTGATGATTGATAACTGGGTGCAGCAAACTGATGGAGACCATGTACCAAAAATAAGTGTTCTGGTTGGTTGATAACAGGGATGTGAAGAGGGAAAGTTTGGGCATCAAAGCAAGCTGTTCTTTTCTATTCTTTCTTGCTTAAAATGGTGCAATGCTTTGATTTCAAATATGAAATTAGGACAAATAGGGCTACAGGAAAGCCTCATGTTAAGGAATCTGAGAATGAAGGCTCTGTTTTTTTTTTTTTTTTTTTTGAAATTGCACATACAAAGAGGATGCACTTCATTTATCAAAAACTAAAGCAAGAATGGATTAAAAAACAAATCTTAACCTAGCAACATTGTTTCTAATATTGGTCATATAAGCAAACTACAACTACTTTAAAAACTTGTGAAAAATTAGCAAAAGTGTGTGCACAAACAATCCGTATATCAAGAAATATGCATATATGAATAAAATAGGAACTAGAAAAGTTCATCATTGGGATGGTTCCTACAGAGTTACACTTACACATATAAAAGTAAAAGAACAAAAAAATAAAAGAAAAGAGAAATAAAAAAAATAGAAAAATTAAAAGTTAATATTTGGAATCTGAGATTCTTACTCTCCTAAAATACATGAAAATTGGCCCCCATAAGCAGCACCAAACAACAAAATTGACTACACTATCAAGTCAAAATGAACAAGACCGCAAGAAAGTGAGACAAAAATCTATCGAGTTTGTTTAAGTTGAATACCATTAATCAACATAATTGATGGATAAGGACTACTATAGAGGAGATACTGATCCAAAACCAAATAGCCATGTGTATTGCCAGTTGTGAAACCCTAACCCTGAGATTTACATAGAATTCAAAGATGCCATGAATTCTATGTAAATGAAGAGGTTGTTTTAGAACCAAGGCCTGAGAACTATGTGGAGAAGCACAAGCATTTAGAAAAATAAAAAATAAAAAATAAAACCATGTAAGATCACACAGCAACAAATTTTTTAAGGTGAAAGACCATGTAAGATCAAAAACCTCTCCATTGCTTCCAAGTCATACATGTAAGATCAACATCCTGGTTTTTTTTTTTTTTTTTTTTTTAATTTCCATACCCATTTTCTCAAATTCAGTTCTTGTGTTTCTAAATTATTTTAACAACGAATCAATTAACAATCAACAACCAGTCCTTGACAAACCCAGTGACATTCATAGTCAAAACCAATGTCTTCCCAACAAGCAAAAAAACAGCAAGATTCAAAGCAAAGCACAAAACGAATTGGTCCCAAAAATGGAGAAATCGAAATGGAAACTAGAAGTGTCCCTCAAAACAGGGAATCCAATGAAAAGACAAGGAACAAAGATAAAAACAAAGCAACAAGGTGCGAAATAGTAAAGCGAAGTGATTGGATTCAAAGTAATACCTTTGGAAGTAAGCAAGATCTGAATCAAAACCAATCGAGTGGCTTCGAAACCCACAGCACCAAGTTGAAGAAAAACCCCCCAGGAATCGAATTTGGCTTCTCCATAGGCAGCGATGACAACGTCAAAGGAGATGAAGAGCATGTTGGCCATGGTGTTGGAGTTGAAAGAGTCTTTTCGGAAGATGATTCCGATGGAGTAGACAGCGACGGGCATTAGGGCTTTAAGCATCTGGATGAAGGATATGGAGAGGTATGTAGACGGAGTTGGAAGATAAAAACCTTGCAATGCGAGGAGGTGCAAGGGAGGAGCCGCCGATTGAACTTCGTTGGGTGATGGATCTGAGGCGACGGTAACCAACAACGAGGTGAATCAGTGCTCCAGTTACCGGCGACCGTGAGGGAGGAGAGAGGAGCAGCGGAGAGGGAGAGGCAGAGGCAGAGGGGGAGAGAGAGAGAGAGAGACGCTGGCGACAGAGACAGAGGCGCTGTTTTTTTGTCGCCAATTCTTTTATTTTTAGTGACTTAATTTTTTTTTAGTCGCCAATAATCAATATATCTCGACTAAAAAAAATCAGTAGCTAAATATTATACTTTTGCTGACTGAAAAAAATTTTGGTCGCCAAAGATGCATTTTATTGTAGTGTATCTAGTGACGTTTATAAAACGCATTAAACTCAAGACGATAGCAGCATCAGCAATGTAAACTATAAACGTTGGTACAACCTTTGACATTGCTTTTACAACTTATAGAGGTGTTTTTTAAAAGCCGATAAAGACATTTTTTCCTACAGTGACATATAAGAGTTTATAGTCCATGCAACATATAAGGGTTTCAAAGACTAAGGGTATGTTTGGTTTGTGTTTGAGAGATAAAAAGTACGAAAAGTTGTTTGGTTTGGTTTTTTTCAAAAGATGTTTTGGAAAATTATTTTGAGAGAGAATTTTGGAAAAAGTGATTGATTTGATGTGTGTGAGAGAAATAAGACTTTTAACGACAAAATTTAAAAAATGTCACTAATAAATAGACTTTTAAGGACAAAATAATTTGGTCTCAAAATGATTTATTTTTTTAGACAAAAAATTTGATCTTAAAACGAAAATTCATCACTAATATCTAATTTCCATTGCTAAAAAGATAATAATGACACTTTTCGTAATAAAAATATTAAGTTCCTAAAAATAATTTTGTCCCTAAATTTTTGGTCTTTAAAACCTTAATTTTTTGTAGTGCCAAGATCGTTAACTTTTATAATTTTCACAAACAATAATATAATACGAAAAATAAAACATACTAGGATATGTTTTACAAAACCTTCAACTAATATAAAGTTGATTGAACAAAGAATTAAATGTATGTTTATAAGTAGAAAATAAGCCAGTTTCATAATATAGCCCATCAAAATAGAACACTTAAAAAAACTATTCTTTTAAGATAGTAACTTGTGATTTACGATAAAAAAACCACAATTTTATTAAATTTATAATTCACACGTGTCCTGTTATATCACGTGAATCACTATAATGACTAAATAAATAAAATTAGTGTTTTTTTTTTAGTGGGTAAATCATAAATTAAAGATAAAATTTACACATTTACATGGGGACACCCCAGGTAATACAAAGAATCTCACGCTGCCCCCCAAAGAAGGGGGAGACTATTACAGATAAAAATAAATACAAAATAACTAATTAATTATCACAACCCGTAAGAGCAGGGTACCCAGCAAATAAAACATAAATAGATCTTTAAAATTGCCCATATATTTTCTCAAGTAACCCCTACCATCCAGAATAATAGATGAAAATTTAAGAAAAATATATGGGCAAAATCAAAAACAAAGAACTAACCATGTCAACTCATGAACCATGGCTGACCAAAAAAAAAAAAAAAAAAAGGGCCCCACCCACGTGCTCTAACAACACATATGCATATACAACAAACATGCATATATATCAACGCACCGCACCAGCTAGAAACAAAACTAGTTTTAACCAAAACAATGGGCCAACTGTCCACCACCCACGTTGCTCCACTTACCAATGTAAGCAACATCATCAGCTTTCAATCAACCTGTCTAGCGTAGGTGGGAAGATTGAGCTAGAAACAATCCAATACAACGCGGCACACCATACAGATGAGAGTCCACCATGGCTAGCATAGTGAACCACGAACCACCGGCAAAATCATCAGGACACACATTAGTCCACGTCCACTCTGCCTCAATGGCGCACACCGCACCTCGGCAGCAGAACAAGTACCCAAAACCCAGTACACAAAAACGTGGACTGTACACATCTGCACCAAATTATTTTCAAAGAGAACGACACCGACGGAGCTTGAAGATAACAACCCAGCACTGGTGACATACCTCTGACGCTAAAACCAAAAAAGTCCATCAGACTGACTGTCACGCCCAGCTTACACCTCATCCCTGACGACGGCGGCTAAACCGAAACTGGATAACAAATGTAGCTGGGAAACCAAAACCAACAACAACCAGACCCGTAGCATCACCTCCTCGGGGAAAAAAAAAAAAACAGTTATCGCCGGAGAAGAGAACATCTGAAGGGTATACAGCATCAGTGCTTCTAGGGTTCAAACCAATTGCAGTAGTGTTAGCCCCCCCCCAGCTGGGTTCTCAGTAGCAGCATCAATGTGACGCATGGGGTTCATATTCATACCCATGCCATGCCATGCTAATGTCAGCCCAAGAGGGTACTGTGACCCGACCATGCCCCCCTCAGTCATCACTGCTGGAAATAGGGGTTTTTGAGGCGTTTAAAAAACGCCGCTATAGGTTCCAAAAACGCCGTCAAATCTTTTGGTGACGTTTATCACTAAACGTCGAAGATGCGGCCGTCGCTATAACTTTATGACACGCGTTTTTATAAAACGCCGCTAAAAGTTCTTCTGACGGTAACATGACATCACCAAGCTATTTAGCGACGTTTTTTAAAACGCCATTGTATCTCTTTTTTAAAAAATCCAACCGTTGGTTTAATATTTAGCGACGTTTTTAGAAACGCCACAATAGCCTTTTTTTTTAAATTGTGCTAATTTTATGTGTTTGAACTACAAAAATACCCCAAATAAAACTAAAAAATAGCACTAATAAGAAATAACTCCCATTCAAATAGCGAATGCGACATTGATTCACTTTCCCATTCAATTTAATATCCAATCTCTATTACCTACAAAATAACATATCCACAAATGATATTTTAACATTACCCACAAAATAACATATTCACAAATGATGTTTTAACGTTACCCACAAAATAACATATCCAAAAATTAAATTCACAATTCTCAATGGAAAGAGGCAAAATATAATTTTTTTACATTGCCCATATGTGTACATTAATCATAAGATGGCCATCAAGTATGCTTATGATAATCATTAATACCTGCAAAAGATTTGACGAACAAACAAAAAGAGTCTAAAAATTGCTTATAAAATCAAGATAGCCCCAAAACACATAATAAAAAGGGCCAAAGTCATTACCATAGCCGACAATGCAAACCAATTATCTCAACCGTAAAGAAGAAACATCCAATACTCAGATATAAATCATTCATTATTACCAAAACAAAAACCAGATTTGTCTTGTATAAGAAAAATTAGTATCGAGTGGGTCTGCTTGAATCAAAGGGAAAAATAACCCAAATCAAAGACTGATTTGAAATGAGCTACTTTTTCTGTAGCTGGTAAGAACTCCACTTGATGAGTAACATACTGTTTTCGAATCCAAAAGCCCCAATAAACATTCCTGTGATACAATGATTAGAAGGCTTCACTAAACAATTATCTAAATTTCAAACGAGAAAAAGAAAAACAAAAGAACAAACAATTGAGAACGAAACAGAGCAGAAGAAATTTATATGCAAATAAACACAATGATACAACAAAGCATTACACTTCAATACACCCAATAACTATATAACTGAAAAAAATATAGTTATAGCAGAAATCAACGTCACAGGCCACAACCTCACTTTATCAATAATCATGTGCCTCCATCTATCCAAGAACCTCAATGGAAAAACAAATTAATTAACATAATTCACCCTAAAAAAGCGATAGTATGTAAACAAGCAAGTAAAAAGAACCAATGTTTCATTTTCCCCTCATTTTAACACCTAGATTCATAAAATTCACATTTCCTTAACTGTCTTATCCTACTTACCCTACAAACGTTTCATTTGATCCAAAATCATCAATTGCACAAACAAGAATCAGCCAGATTAACGGGAGTTACAAACTAGACTACCTCTGATTAACCTTTTAAAATGTATGTCAATGGGCAGGGAAATTGCCAAAAAAACATAATGCCATAATCTTGTCTGTTGCTAGTAAGTTATGAGAGCTTGAAACATCAACCTGATAATTGAAGAAAAGGCAGCCACATGTTAGCCACAAATATGAAGTAATGATCATCTACACAAGTAACACAACTTTAGAAGCGTATAAACAGATTTTGTCTGTTGATATAAAAAAATCAACAAATTGTAAATGAACTTTCTGACAAGTGCATGTTCAAAAGAAGTTTGCACATTGGCAAGTATAACAAGATCAAAACCTAACCTTTTCCCTTGAACTACTTGTTGACCATAGAGGTTTTAACTCCAAATCTGAACCAGCTTGAATGATGCCACAAGGTAAACTAGCAAAACTATTGTAAGACAAATCACCTATCAAGTGCAAGTTCATAAAACAACTGAAGAAAAAAAAATTGCAAAATCAAGTATCAGACCAAATCCCAAGCAATATGGAAGTTATGGCATGTTTAAGGCAGACAAATAAAAGAACAAAAACAATGCAATTTTAAAAAATAAGAAAATAGAACTGAAAATAATACCTTCGACATGTAGAAAGGGTTCAATCGTTCGTCTATCTGATGGTGAAAGAGGAGAAAAAACATTAGAGGAAGCAAAGTAAAAAAGTAAAAGGCCCAACTTCATACGTATTCCAGTGTATAAAGAATGATTACATTACAAAGAAACTAGTTTGAAACCTTTAAGGGGTTTTTTTTTTTTTAAAAGAAAACTTTGGGAAACACTAATCGACCAACGACTTACACATAGGTCATATGGTTCTGTTATTGCAAGTAACATGGTATAAGAATACCTTTAAATTGAGTTGACTAACAAAATTTAAATACCATCAATAGGACCTGCAGTCTACCCCAATTTCCATATTTATTCATGAAACACATCATTCAAATTATAGATGATGTCACTATACCGCTGTCTGTCGATATTGATAATTTGTGGTTCTGTATACTATGAACAACATGACAGTACAAGCAATTCCCATAAACTGCAGTTGTTTCATTTTGACTCTGCATGTTCCCTGCATTTCAATCAAGCCTTCAATCAAGACATCTTTAAACATATGAAACAAATTGTTCACAACATCTATCCACCTAGTTTATGAAATTAGACAAATTACAACTATTTTCAAATAAAATATACCCTGTCAAATAATATGTGTCTTTTCCTGACCACCCATCTCCATGATTTAAATGCCCTCATGAACAGCAACAGCTTCAGTATATTCTGATAATAACAAACAACAATCAAAGTATCTGAACATATTAATATCAAAATAGAACCCAAGAGTAAAAAATGTGAATGCTTATCTTATGATAAACGTATCTTTGTGGTGTGACATGCGTGTTGTGTGTTACTTACGCTGTAATTCTTTTTTGTATGTGTATATGTGGGTTTGTGTGTTTTTGTGTGTGTGAGTGTGTGTGTGTGTGTGTGTGTGTGTGTGTGTGTGTGAGAGAGAGAGAGAGAGAGAGAGAGAGAGAGAGAGAGAGATCTGGTTATGATTATTTTTTTTTTTTCCCATAAGTTTTGCTCATACAATGGGAACAAAAATGTAATGAATATAGGGACATATCTTTCACCTTCATATAAGATGTTATGTAGAGGAATAACAACAAACAATCGTGTCGTGTTCAGAAAATTGAATGACCATCAAGCAATTTCTCTACTGGAAAAGTCTGTTGATCCCAAACCAAATATAAATAAATACATTATAAACTTGTTGAATAACATAATTCAAAGTGAGGCAAAAGTTAGAACATAAGAATGCTACTAAGGTGCCACATAACACAGTTTATGGTGGAAAATGGCATTAACAAAGCAAGGTAAAACACACAGGAATACATTTGCTTGCATTAACAGACGACAGAAGGACAAGCAAACATTTCCCAGTTCATTCAAAAAAAGGACGAATATGTTTTCCAAATGCCATAAAACAGAAGCTTGAAGCTGCTGTCAGTTAAACTCCAAAGTTCCACAACTGTCTTTTAGCTTTTCGAATAACAAGCATACACACATTAAAAAAATGTTCAATTTTTAATAGATCAAGCCAAAGAAACAAGCCAAAAGAAATTATAGGAACAAAGATGAACAACACCCAAAAATAAACGCAGAATGGAAGAATAAAGATAACAAAGAAAGATTAATGCACAAAAAGGCTAACAGGTCAATATTAACCCACCTTATGGTTTCCCTTGGCCTCTAGAGTTCCATCTATAAAAATTACATGGACAGCCCGGTCTGCCCTCTAGAGACTTACATTTCTAGAAAAAGTAAACTAAATAATGTGCATGTGTCTGCATGACTTATAAAGAAAAAGATAATATCAAATATACATCTTTATGGATTTTTAAATGTATCACACACATCAACCAGTCAATTTACATTAGAGGATTAACCAAAAAAAAAAAGAAATCTATAAATTCTAAAATAACAATTAGCAACTAACCGTTGGATTACCTCATTGCAAAACCGATAGAAACCCATCCATTGGTCTATGTTTATGACCTTGTAATCAATTTGTGTCTGCATTCAAAGCAAAAACACTCAAATGAGATAAATAAATGGGATTTGCTCCTATCTTGTTCATGCCTATAAGGTCCTTCACGTCTCCACTCAAACTATGTTGCATCATTGTATGTGAGACTGCTAAATGAAATAGTTGAGGGATAAATTTCTGAATTTAACTAAAAAACTAGCAAACAGGAGCTAGCCCCATATGATATTCACTAATATCCTAGAATCACAAGTCCAAAATCAAGGAAACTCTCACCAATACTCAAAAAGAAATGAGGGTATATGCATTGGACAATTGTGGAAGCAAATATATAAAAACCTTCTGCATTATGGTGATCATGAGAAAACTACTACTACTCACCCTCAAGTACTCAACAAAGTAGTTGACCTGGGCACGGGATTGGGACCCTAGAACAAGATCAAGTAATTGGCAAATGCTCTCAATGTCAATACTCCTGTTTTTCCTCTTAAAACCATATAAGAGGAAAAAAAAAAAAAAACCTTGTACGCAGCATAAAAGGAATAAATATGGCTCTCCGAGATTAACTAAAGGCTGCCATGGATCACCATACCTGTTAAGCAGCATCGAAATGCATAAGAATAGAAATCCACAAAATTTGACGGCCTTTTGACCTTTAACGGAAGGAAGAAAAAAGAGAGAAATGGGAATTATCAGGATTTATTAATTCTCTTCCTATCTAAGGGAAGGCTACTAGATCAAATGTCAAAGAAATAGACAACTATGACTCAAAAACTATGAGCCAACATAAGTGGAAATTTATACATTTGGCTTACTAGGCAGAATCTTGATATCATGTTTGTAATAGGATTCTCATCATTTAAATACAAAAGGATTTGTGCATTGTATGATCATTTCCTTATACCATCTCTTTTAAACAAATATTCACTAATGTTTAACCTATTATTCACAATTCCCACGAGCATTATAGATATTCACTGCAAAATATAACTAGCGCATTATTAGTTTTGTCCCATAATTCTTTTATGACCATGCATCCATTTATTGAGGGAGGTTCATCAGGTACTCCCTAATTGTTTAAATGATCAAACGAGTAGCTTTAGAATCAAACAAACATTATCACCTGAGCGGAATCAAATTAGGTAGCATTAGCAATATATTTTGTGGTTAGTAAATCTGAACTATATATTTATATAATATATATAAATATATATAATATTTATATATTTATATATAATATTTATATACATACATCCATCCATCCATACATACATGTATATTTATACATGTATCCTGTAGATTAAAAGTTTGTCATCCATAGTTATCCTGATCTATTTCATTTTAAGTGTCCAAGAGAGGAAGACCAACTTTCAGACGGCGCTGATGTTGCACAACCTGTTTAGCATGGGCCCTAACCTCATCTGGATTAATCTTGGATTGGGGGCGAACCAAAGCATATACAACTCATCAATCACTGAGAGAGAGAGAGAGAGAGAGAGAGAGACGATGGAGCGCACCTTAGCAGACGATGGTGTAGATGGTGAAGACCGATCTGAATCTCTAAATCTCTGCGATGAAATCACTGAGATGAAATCGCTCTGAATCTCTGCGATGAAATCACTGAGATGAATCTCTCAATCGCTCTGATAAGGGTTTAGAGAGGGTTAAGAGAGAGAGAGAGAGAGAGAAAGAGAGGCAGTGGAGCTCACCTTCGTTGGTGCAAACTTCTTTTGAACATGCACTTGTCAGAAAGTTCATTTACAATTTGTTGATTTTTCTATATCAACAGACAAAATCTGTTTATACGCTACCTCGCTCTGAGAATGAACAGGCAGTGGAGCTTTGAAATCACTCTGAGATTTAGAGAGAGAGAGAGAGAGAGAGGGGTCGAGATTTGGGTCTTAGGTGAGTCTCAGATTCAAAATTAGGGTTTAAAAAGAGGGGGAGACAAGCGCGTGAGGCACAACGCATTTGGAGGCGTTTTCTATTATAAAACGGTGTCGTTTTATTAAATAAATATGCGACGTTTTGTAAAACGTCATTAAATATTTAAAAATAATGACGTTTAAAAATGCGTCGTTAAAAAAATGTTGCCTAAACTCTTTTTTCTTATAGTGCATGTTGTTGGTGTCATGATGACTGGTACCATATCCATATCCATATCCAGCAGACATGTTTGGACCACTAGTATAGTAATTTTCCATCCCCATGGCCATTCCTCCACCAGTGGTGTAACTTTGGGTCCTGTCCCGCCACCGGCTCTGGCAGTGGCTGCAGCTGATTGTCGTGCGGTGGCATTGTGCTCACGCGCCTCCTGCTTGTTGGACTCAGCTTGATTGATTTGGCTTCTTTCCTCTGCGTGGCCATGTCCTTTTGCACTACTGGGTCATGTCATGTGCACTCACCCTCTCTGCCTACATCATAAATCATCAGTCATCAATGCGGATTAAATAAAAAAAACCAGTCATTGTATTGTTAACTTGTGTACATGGTAACAACTAACCAAATAAATCACAGAGCAAGCATCAACATGCTTCAGATTTAGAAGCCCGAATATTTGGACCGTGCTAAACATATATAAAGTTCCCAATTTCATCTTCTTCTTCTTGGTGCTTCTTTTTATTTTTATTTTTATAAAAAAGGCAATAAAAATCCAAACAATTTAAAATTTATTTTTCGGTAAATTTATTGCAAAATGCTTTTCTAAAATGTCTCATATTTGGTTTACATCTTCTATGCGAAAATGTTCTATTTAAGATCTTCTAAAGTGTTATTCAAAAGATCCAATAATATATACATATTGAATCTTTTTGAGACAATTATAGATTCTGGGAGGTAAATTTAATTGGTCAATAAAAATATATTTTAATGCTATTAATTCGAAGCCATGTTGTGTTCCACTAGTTGATTATTAATTTTTTTTAATGTTCTTTTATGTTTTTTTTCCTCTTTAACACAACTTCGCTAATGATATATATAATATTTATATACATACATCCATCCATCCATACATACATGTATATTTATACATGTATCCTGTAGATTAAAAGTTTGTCATCCATAATTATCCTGATCTATTTCATTTTAAGTGTCCAAGAGAGGAAGACCAACTTTCAGACGGCGCTGATCTTGCACAACCTGTTTAGCATGGGCCCTAACCTCATCTGGATTAATCTTGGATTGGGGGCGAACCAGAGCATATATATAACTCATCAATCACTGAAACAGAGAGATATATATATATATAGAGAGAGAGAGAGACGATGGAGCGCACCTTAGCAGACGATGGTGTAGATGGTGAAGAGCGATCTGAATCTCTAAATCTCTGCGATGAAATCACTGAGATGAAATCGCTCTGAATCTCTGCGATGAAATCACTGAGATGAACCTCTCAATCGCTCTGATAAGGGTTTAGAGAGGGTTAAGAGAGAGAAAGAGAGGCAGTGGAGCTCACATTCGTTGGTGCAAACTTCTTTTGAACATGCACTTGTCAGAAAGTTCATTTACAATTTGTTGATTTTTCTATATCAACAGAAAAAATCTGTTTATACGCTACCTCGCTCTGAGAATGAACAGGCAGTGGAGCTTTGAAATCACTCTGAGATTTAGAGAGAGAGAGAGAGAGAGAGGGGTCGAGATTTGGGTCTTAGGTGAGTCTCAGATTCAAAATTAGGGTTTAAAAAGAGGGGGAGACAAGCGCGTGAGGCACAACGCATTTGGAGGCGTTTTCTATTATAAAACGGTGTCGTTTTATTAAATAAATATGCGACGTTTTGTAAAACGTCATTAAATATTTAAAAATAATGACGTTTAAAAATGCGTCGTTAAAAAAATGTTGCCTAAACTCTTTTTTCTTATAGTGCATGTTGTTGGTGTCATGATGACTGGTACCATATCCATATCCATATCCAGCAGACATGTTTGGACCACTAGTATAGTAATTTTCCATCCCCATGGCCATTCCTCCACCAGTGGTGTAACTTTGGGTCCTGTCCCGCCACCGGCTCTGGCAGTGGCTGCAGCTGATTGTCGTGCGGTGGCATTGTGCTCACGCGCCTCCTGCTTGTTGGACTCAGCTTGATTGATTTGGCTTCTTTTCTCTGTGTGGCCATGTCCTTTTGCACTACTGGGTCATGTCATGTGCACTCACCCTCTCTGCCTACATCATCAATCATCAGTCATCAATGCGGATTAAATAAAAAAAACCAGTCATTGTATTGTGAACTTGTGTACATGGTAACAACTAACCAAGTAAATCACAGAGCAAGCATGAACATGCTTCAGATTTAGAAGCCCGAATATTTGGACCATGCTAAACATATATAAAGTTCCCAATTTCATCTTCTTCTTCTTCTTGGTGCTTCTTTTTATTTTTATTTTTATAAAAAAGGCAATAAAAATCCAAACAATTTAAAATTTATTTTTCGGTAAATTTATTGCAAAATGCTTTTCTAAAATGTCTCATATTTGGTTTACATCTTCTATGCCAAAATGTTCTATTTAAGATCTTCTAAAGTGTTATTCAAAAGATCCAATAATATATACATATTGAATCTTTTTGAGACAATTATAGATTCTGGGAGGTAAATCTAATTGGTCAATAAAAATATATTTTAATGCTATTAATTCGAAGCCATGTTGTGTTCCACTAGTTGATTATTAATTTTTTTTAATGTTCTTTTATGTTTTTTTTCCTCTTTAACACAACTTCGCTAATGATTATCAGTCTTTTACTAACAACATGATGCCTTTGCAGTTTTATTTCAATTTTTAGACACTTTGATAATTGAGGGACAATTTGATGAATGAATAAAAAATTTAGCAATTTTGAATAGTTTTATAAATGAAAACATCTATTAATCAATTATTGAATTTGCAAGCTATTAAACAAATAAATAAAAAAAGTATTTTTCTGAGGCATTCACAAAAGAAAAATAATTTTATAGACTCAATGATGTAAGAGATGATTGATTAAAAAGGATATAAGAAATAGTTGTCTTACATATTTTAATAGATATCTCCATCATTAAATTTGAGAGTGGATCTAACTTTTGAGTTAAGAGTACCACTACTATACCTAAACCAAGCCAAATTAAAATTCTTTCTCCAAAATCAATTGGGTCTCAAACTCCAATAAGGAGGTATACCCAACAATCTACACCCAAAATAAATTCCTAAATTTTAAATGATGAAAATACTTTATTTATATTTTTAATCAGATAACAAATTTATCCATTCGAAACCGAGTACAAGGAAATTCCGAACACTTTTTGAGTAACTTCCATAGTAGTAACATTTGTTTTGGAAAAGGTAGTTCCATAAAATAATTATATAAAAAAAATTTGTTCATTCATATTTTTAAAGTCTGAAAAATAAATTGTGACTTATTCAAAATATATCTAAAAAAAATATTGACACCACCCAAAATTGCGGGCTCCACTATTTTGGATCAATAAAAATTTATATTTTGTTCACATACTTTAAAATTGTGTGAAAAAATCGGAGTCAAAATAATCATGCACTCAATATATAGTTACGATAAATTGGTGACGCATTAGATATGCTTTTTTTGGTTCAATTTCTATCAAGCTCAAATCTTAACTTCAGAATTTGTGGGTCCACCACGAATACAAATCGTTCATTTTATAAAGTTTTATGTGTATATTTTTTGTATAAAAAATTAGATCAATTTGATTCATAATAATTTCATCTTATCACGTTTGTTTGTTAGTTTTTTTTTTTTTTTTTTTTAAATAGATTAATGTTTCGAACATTAGATTCCAAACATCAGATTAATGTTTCGAACATTAGATTGATGTGCAAATGGGACTAAATGGAGCATAAGAAAATTTTTAGGACTAAATGGTTCAACTTTTCAGAAACTAGGACTTATGGGTAAATTTTCCAATTACTTATTACACTACTAGAAAAATGGGTATATGACATAGAACCTTTTGCGACAGCATAATAATTCATCGCAAAAAGTAACTTTTTGCAACGATTAATATATTGTCGCCAATAATCACTTTTTGCGACTATTACTGAATCAAAAAGAGGAAAGAAAGGTAATTTTTTTTTTTTTGGGCCATAGCCTTTGTTGTGTGGTCGCTAATAGACGCACCCAAAAAAAATAAAAAAATAAAATAAAAATAAATAAATAAACCCTCCTTTTTGTCAAGCCCTTGGTGCCCAAAATCCCCAAATTTTATGATATCTTGGTGCCTCTGATTTTTCTTTTCATTTTCACGCTCAACTCTCTCCCCATCTGCATCTTATATCTTCGTGCGGCTCAGAATCACTCACATCCCACCGGCAAGGGCTCAAATATGTAGAGCATCAATGTCGAAGCCACCGTTGCTCATCTTAATACCGCACAGGACCACATAGTGTCCGTCAATCGTCCATCGTCACACATCATCGCACATCATCGCATGGCCACCGCCGCTCACCATTGCCTCGACGACCACCACCGCCATTGATGTCACCATCGCAAACCAGCAACCATTCTCTTCTTATCTCACATTACGATCCACCATTGTAGCACTACCCCCAAGTATGTCTTCATATTTCGCTCTCTCTCTCTCTCTCTGTATCTTTGTATCTCTATCTCTATTCCCCCAATTTCGGCCTCTAGGGTTTTTTTCGCATATCTTCAAGCAAACCCACCCCCAAATCGACCCACCCACTATCACACCTTCTGCACTTTCTGCTTCAGCAATCTGATTGTGGATGTCTCTTCTCTTCTTACTAGTGATTATTAGTTGTCCATGGTGCAAATTCCAATCTCCGACCTCAATATTTTCTCGCCATTATATCTCTATTTCGAACAACACCTCATGATCTGGATCCCCTATTCGATTGCCTCCAATCATACATGATTTTCTCGAGCCTCGCATTCTCAATGTTAGGTAATTAAAGTAATGTTGTGCTTGATTTCATTTGTATTTTGCTGTTATAAATTCGATTCTAGTTAGCTTTTTTGTTTCATTCTTTGCTAATTAGAAGTGTTATGATCTAATTAGACAAAAGATAAAGTTCTATTCTAGTTAGCATTTTTTGTCTAATTCTTTGTTTGATAGTTAGATGAAGTCTTATGATCTAATTAGACAAATTGACGCGTTTTCGTTTCATGTTGATATATGCATCTTAGTTCAAACTATATAAATCTAAATACCCAGCTGATAAAGAGTACAAACTATATAAATTACATCTTGAATTAAAGAATTTCCATTACAATAGGGACAATTTGAAAGGGCATACTCAGTTACATAGGCTTAGTGCTTTTTGATTGCATTTATTGAACTGAACCGCACCAAAACTACTTTCTATGGTTTGGTTT